ACATTTATAATCGCATGCCAAAATAGTTATTTTTTATATTTACTGCATAAAATACCAAATTTAAAGCTATTATATAAATTCCAACATCTTGAGGAAATAATTGTTAATGTTGAACAGAAAAGCTACAAATCGCTCATATACGGCAAATCGATTCTCAAATACTCGCTGAAAGTTGAAATCCTTGAATTTGGTTCTACTTGATCCAATTTTCCAAATTCTTTCACCAACTCAAAAATTCAAATTCAAGAACTCTCAAATCCGAGGCTTTTTAGTTTCTCCTTTGCGGATCTACTGCTTGGATGAGAAGGCATCAAAATAGGGCTACAACCATTTTTGGGGCATATAGTCCAATTACTTCCAACCACATGGTCCAATTAGTCGCCAATACAGTAGCCCGCCATAGAATCAGGCTTGAGGGTATGAAAGAAAAGAGGGTGGCGGGTGGGGGAGCCACCAAAAAAAGTAGCAAAATTCTTGGCTATAACGAGTCCAAAAAATAATGGTTTCTTTTAATCTGTCGATTGTTGCATTGGTGTGGGACGCTTTGCTTTAGAATGCTCTGTTGTGTCATTCCAACCAAATAGTGCTGTTATTTCCAACCGCCAAATTGTCCAAGTAGTTGCCAGAAAAGTAGCCCACCGTAGATCTAGGCCTAAGGACATAAGAGAAGGGGGGGGGGGGAGAAAAATGCGATAGAGCTGTTGGGGTGATAGGGGTGTAACCCGAATATAGCCAAACAAGTTTCAGATGAAGGTCTAAATCCATGTGGCCACCTTACAATAAATAAAGAGATAGCCAATGGACTAAAAGAAGGCTAAAACTTTCGATTGGCGAGACACACCCTGCTCTCTAAAAAAAGAAACATATGGGCAAAAACATGGAAAGAATAATTAAAAATTTAAAAATTGGACATAATTCCAGAAAGATGGAAAGAAAAGGGAAAAAACAAATGCTATTAGGAAAATTACATTTATAATGGCATGCCAAAATAGTTAGTTTTTATGTTTACTGCAGAAAATACCAAATGTAAAACTATTAAATAAATTCAAACATCTTGAGGAAAGAAATGTAAATGGTGATAGGAAAGGCTGCAAATTTCTCATATATGGCAAATCGATTCTCAAATGCTTGTTGAAAGTTGAAATCCTTTAATTTTGGTTCTACTTGATCCAATTTTCCAAATTCTTTCATCAACTCAAATATTCAAATTCAAGAAATGTCAAATCTGAGGCTTTTTAGTTTCTCCTTTGTAGATCTACTACTTGGATGTCAAAGAAGGCATCATAATCGGGCTACAATCGTTTTTTGGTGTCTTACAACCCCCCACCAGGGGGGGGGCTCTGTGTGTGTGTGTTGGAAAGCCTTCAGAACCAGCACCCTTCTTTGCCTAAATGACCAGGGTGGGTCCAAGGTAGGCTCACTGAGTTTTTAAACACTATTAAAAGGTTTCATATAATTGACGGTATGGTTGGAGAAGATTCCTTTTGATAATTCTTTTCACCCTCTAAGAGGTAGGAAGCTACTCTTCCATGTTGTTACTTGTGTGTGTGTGTGTTTTACATCATAAGGGTTCAAGACAGCCCAATAGGACATTAAGCGGAAGGCCTTGTCAGCCCAAACATTGCAAAAAAATTCTGGGAATCGACATATGTGGCCCCGTCTACCCTAAAATATGGCACAAATCGTTGGGGCATACATCTCAATTCTTTCACAACTTACAAGCGACTTAAGGTCAAGTTCTATAGTGAAAGGTGAACACCCGAACAATTGGCAACCGACATGTTGTATGAATTGGACTGCCAGTCTATTTGAAACCACATTAAACCATCCCCAAATTGAATGAAACTTGGGGAATATTTGGATACAGGGCAGGAAAAGTTCTCACCAATTTTCATCATTGTTGGACACCTGGGTAGTATGTTTTTTTTTGGAAGCTGGACTGCTGGTGATTTGAAGCATCTCGTCAAATATCCACTATATGGTCTCGGAATGGGATAAAACTTGGAGGGTCTTCAAGATACAACTAAAGGGACCTTCCAGTCAATTTTCATGAAGTTTCAATGTTTCAGTGGCTTACATGTTCTTTAAAAATGCTAAAATGCTAGCGAATTGAAGGCCCCTTTGATCTGGCCACCATATAAAGGGAGGTCATATATAATGATCTCTAATCGATATGAAACTTGGTGGGCTTGTAATCTAGAGGATTTCAAGCCTTCTTTCCAAATTTCAGGTGTTTGGACCGTCAAAGAGAAAATCATTCTCAAAAAACGAGAAAATCATTCTCAAAAAAAGAGAAAATCATTCTCAAAAAACGAGAATATAGACAACAAAGAGAAAAGAGAAGAGAGAGATATGTGAGACGTGAAAGGAGTGAGTTTCGTGAGGTCTAACTAACATAAAGTCACCGACCGATAGTGGTTGTGGCTATGGAGCACAGTACCAGACTACGGTCCCATGGAAGTGAAACCTTGGATTTCTTCCTTCTAAAGGGTCTTTTGTCGCACCAAAATAAAAGAAACAAAGAAATAAGTCAGGAACGGTGGGCTGCCAAGTGCAACCCCACTTGTTTCGAATTCCATTGGAATGTTGTAAGAATCATCAGAACTGGTTATATTCAAGAAAAGCAGCTTCAGATATGAGCTCAAAATCAGCATGACTCTTAAAGTGATGAGAGGAAACCCTTGGTCGAAAATGAAGAAAATCGGAGCAAGTTGTATGCTTAAGATGGCAATCGAATGGCTCGAAAAGGAGCACGGCCAAATTGAACGGCTCGAAAAGGACTACAATCAAACTTTGGTCAGACCTACACAACTATGATCCGATCATCAGTTATTTATCTGAGGTGCCCTAAGGAGACCCTCCAAAAATTAGTTCGATCCGACAATGGATGACCAAGATCCAACCCCGCAAAGTTGGAAGTACAGTTCTCTTATACATGCTTTATATGAAAATTTAAATCTCGTAATTTGCAAAACCTTCTGTATTTGTTTCAAATTGATTGAGTGCCTTGATGGTCTACCACAAAATAGGAAAGAGGCTCCTTTACGTGGGGCGTGCCTCTCATGAGGCATAAGTAGGCTCCACGCGCCTCCCACATGCAATTTTATGGTGGGGCCTATGGACCATAATGGGCCTCCATATGTTTTATTATTTTTCAAATCACAAAAATGATTTATAGAAAATGATTACTATTTTATTTTTCTATCTAATTTATTAAATACTGAAAATTCAGTTTTAGACTATTTATAGGTTCTTTTTTAGAAAAAAATACCCAGAGATTTCTAAAAATTCATTCTATTAATCTAAAAATTATTTAAGGTCAAATTAATTAATTCTAAATTAATTTGATGGGATTTGGATCCAACGATGTTAAGGAATATCAAAATTTCTAAAGCACTCCATCTTATGATAGGAACTATAATCTACACCCACTTTCTGAAACTAACCCAATAGTTCTCATGACCCACAGTCTATCATAGGGGTTCATGATTGACCTACTAAAGTTAGCCAATAGGTGAGGGGACACAATCCTAGTCTACGGATTACTGGTTCCCCTTTAGGGATAAATCCAAGGTCACACAGACTTGTGCACACACACAACATATATGGTGCATATGGGGGTTATCTGTCACAAATGTGCACGTATCACCCTCAGTGGTGATTTGCTTCTTGATACAGCTATCATGTGTACATGCGGTGTAATGGTTTAAGATAAGGCGTTGGCCCTCATCCCTGAAGGCCCACCAATCACACACAAGGGTCACACAGTCCCTTAGTTCACTACCTTGGGCAATTCCAACCTCTTCAAGGGGTTAACCTTGCTAACCTTCATTGGTTGTGCTCCATGCCCAGGTATTTAGGGTTTTGTAACTCGACTGGCTTAGCTCATTAAGCTTAGTTTAAGTCTTAGCAAACAACATTTGCCAACTCAATCCCTCTGGACCATACTCCCACTGGAGTTCTTTGTTCCACTATATCAAAAATTGATTACATGCTCTCATAAGGCCTTTAATAGCTACAAAAAACAAACAAGAACTAGTGTTGAATCAAAATACTGAGCAGTGGATCATGGCACGTGCGAAGTAATGTGGATCAAAAGTGTTCTTTTTTATTTGGGTGTTGGAGTTAAGCTTCCCATGAATCTATATTGTGACAGTGAAGCAGCCATTCATATCACAAAAAATCATATATTTCATGAAAGGACTAAACACATTGAAGTAGATTGATACTTTATCAGAGAGAAGGTTGTTGTCAAAATCATTCAAACTCCTCATGTGAAGTGGAAAAGATCAACTTGCAGATATCTTCACCAAAGCCGTTGGACAAGACAGGTTACATGATATCACAAGCAGGCTGGGCATGATTTATGTCTATGCACCAGCTTGGGGGGCAGTATTGGAAATAAAAGGAAGAAGCTTTATTGTATTTGATGGACTGAACTGTTATTTATTTTTTGGTTAGTCCTTATTTGTCTTATGTCTCTAAATAAGGGCAGTATTATCCATAAGTTATAATTAGGATTATTATTTAATGTTACAATAGAGGTATAGGTCACAAGTGACATCTAAGCCACTCATTTTCCCTCTCTCTATCTCTCACATGTCTCTCTCTCTCTCTCTTTTTCTCACTCTCTCTCTTCTCTCTCTCTCTCTCTCTCTCTCTCCCTTCTTCGTCTTCATCTTTATTTTCTTTTCTCTCTTTCTCACCCAGATCCTACCAAACTGTTTTCTTCTCTACTTTAATTTCAACAGGTCGATTCAATCAAACCCTAACCAATCCAGCTGACCTGCCCATAGAGAAAAAAATAAAAAAAGAGGGGGGGAGGGGGTTTAGATGTGCTTTTCATTTCTATTGTCGTATAGTTTTTGCTGAATGTTGTATTCCTTTCAACATTTCTGTTGTAGTTGTTCAGAAGGCTTCCTTTTTTGGCAGGATTGTGGTTTATTCAATCAGATTTTTCCCTATTGAGCCACACTCACTACCTCTTCATTTATTTGCAGCTGCGGCTAGATATTGCCAGCATACTTGGATTGCTGGCCTATTTTGTAAATTACAAATTTGAGGACATCCTTTCTTCTCCGTGAGTTCAAACCTTGTAATTTATTAGATTTATGTGGAAATACATGCCACTTTTTGTGTTGGTTTTATGATATTGCAGTTAGTGTAAAGAAGGTTCATTCTTTGGTTAAATTTGAACTGATGCAACGTAAGGATTTATCTATTAGACCCAGTAGGAAATACATGCAAATTCAATGGCCATATCTTCATGTTTCTTGTAGCATTTTTTATTGTTGCACATCTGTATTAGGAGTTGTGTTTGTGGTTTGTTGCATCTATTTTAGAACTTCTAATGTGTTTCCCGAACTTTTAAGTATGTTTAGTGTAATATGCGACAGACAATCAGACATGGATTGCGAATGAAAGTCTTGAAATTGTTTGTGTGTGTTGTTAATTGTTGTTTGACTGGCCATTGTTGAAGAAACATTTCAGAAGCATCATAGATTCGGTTTTCATAATTTATCACTTGTTCATAAAAATGCATCATGTTGCACCCTAACATACACGCCAAGAAGGATGTATACAGAGGATGAAGGAACCAAAAACCACAAAAAGAAAAATAGACAAAAATATAGGGTTGGGCAAGTTTGCAAGACTTTTCTTGAAATAAAGCTTCTCCCCCTCCTAGAATTAATGTCGTTTTGGAAGCATCCATGACCAGTAAATTTCTCTTTTAGTGGGCTTGAAAGCAGAATGTTTTTCTTTATAAAACTTGACAGAAGATCTATACTCTTTTGATGATGGAAACTCTTGATGTCATTATGACATAAGGTACATAAGCTGTGTATGCATTTTGAACATTGAAATGCCAGCAAGAAAGACCTCATGTTGCGTTTCTATGTTATCATTATCCTCGTGCAAATGGGTATTTATTTTCTCAATGCATGAGAATGGCATATATACACTTGCTGTCACATCGTTGCAACAATTGCAAAGTAATAAGCAGGTTGTTGCTTCTTTGGTCCATTTAGGCAGTATCCAAAGTATTCCTTGGTCAGGTAGGATTTTATGATTCAAATTAAGTGGAAGCACTCACTCTATTTGATGGTCTTAGTTGTATTTCTTTTTCATGGTACATGAATTGTGAAGGACTCTTGTCTTGTTGGTTGATAGGCTGCTTTGGAATTTGGGTTTGGCTGCATATGTACCCTTCTGTCCGGCCTCCAGAATATCCACACAAATGGCCGGCCTCCAGAGTATTCACTTCAATGACCAATGCGTTGCCCCCTTTGTCATCTCCTCCTTAGTAGGGTCTAGGTTCTTCCATATTATACTGTGTAGGATCATACACTGCATCCATGTCATCTTCTCTAAGCTTCTCAGCTCCGAAGAACTGTCTACTGGATTGACTTTCTTGGGAGTGATACTTGCAAGTAGCTTCAAGGAATGCATATGTTGGGTCATGCATTTTTATTGGAGCCCTGCAAAGATCCGTTCCTCACTGAGTATCTTGGGGTATTCTAGATCTTCATGTTGAAAGTTAATTTTGAAATGCTTTTGTTTGGGTGATACATCATTTATCATCTCCACTTGCAATGATGCATGGACATTGGCAATTCCTTGCTTTATTGGTCTTACCTCAAATTGTGCACATTACTTTCCTGCTAAATTCTTATGTTTTCCATTGCTTCATCTTTGGTGTTTAATTGGCGGAAGTCAACATTATCAATGTGACATGTATGGGCAATATTTGGCAAACAAAGTCCTCTCTTATACCTTTGGAAGGATTTTGAGTCGTGTACTATTTGTTCAATATTTTGCACCCCCAAATCTGTTATTAGTAGCATGGTTAACCACCAGATGTTTATTAGACCATAAAGATTCAAGATTCATTTAAGTCGGTGTGAGATTCAAGATTCCCACAAGTGGGTGTTGGTTTCCTGTGTTTTGCATACGTTTGAAGTTTCTTTTGTCTTTCCTTAATTTTTTTGTAGTAGGTCGTTACATTTTATATTCCTTCTGTCTGTGCTTTTTCTTCTTCTTATACATTATAATTGTAGTATTATGGGTGTTGCTGTGCACTCAAATTCTTCATTTTGGAATATGAAGATGAAAGTATAATCTCTTTGCCATTTTTATGACCATACAGATCCGCATTTCTTCTTGATACAATTGCAATCAGTGCACTTATAATATATGTGACTAGAGTTGCACTAGGTTACAAACAGACATGGGATCGCTATCAGGTAGTGTCAACTATAACTTCTCTACTGGTATACCTTGTTTGGCTTTTCTCTTTATTACCAATCTTCTGGTGACAAGAGATCCTGGCTTGCTCATTCATTTCACTGATTTATATCATTTTTTTGGGAACTTCTTCCTTAAATAAAAAGGCTTTTAGTATTCTCTTCTGTTTTTTCTTAGAATTCTTTACAAACAGTGCAAACCTTCTTTGTTACTCAAAGATTCTAACATTCTAAGATGTAAATGCTATCAGATTTGAATTTAACTTTCTTCCATTACCTTGTAGATAAGTGATTGTTTTTTTATTGTAACCTGATGCATCTATTAAATTGGTCTATAGATTCATTTTCTTGATTGGTTTTTGTTCTTGATACTATTTATTTTTTCTGCTGATTTTGCTTTTAACTATATGTTTCTACCATACCTTAGGTGCTTGTTGGAATTGGTAATTCGGGGCCTTTTCTTGTGAATTAATGATGCGTTTATTCTTTTTTTAGTGGCTTTGCAGTTGCTTAATACATTCCTTACATTGTATGTTTCTTTCGTAGTTGTTGGAAATGCCAGGGAACCCGAATCGTTTCCGGAATCGAAATCGCGGCCGCCTAGGAGATTCTTGTTTTAGGAATCGACGTCCATACAATGGGAATCGTGGGGAACGAGATTCCTAACTTCTTGGAATTGCATCTCGACCAAAATAGATTCTAGATTCATTCATATCTAGAATCAAGATTCCAGCCCCCTTGGAATCGAGATTCCCACACCCTGGAATCGACACTCGAGGAATCAAGATTCATTGATATGTGGAATTGAGATTCCGACATTTATGGAATCGAGTTTTTGACATATGCGGAACAGAGATATGTTGCAGTTTAGAATCATGATTCCAACATCTTTGGCAACAAGTTTCTGACATATATGGACCCGAGATCCATGCCAGTTTCAAATCAAGAATTACATTAGTTTGGAATGAATGCGTTTAACCCCTATCACGAATCGAGATTTCAATTTTATGTAGTAGGAAGCCCCATACACACTTTGAGCCTTTCAACTTTAGAACCTATATCAGATGTTTCTTATTAGACTTGTAGAGCAAATTTAAAAATGATTGTGTTGACCATTGATCTTAGAGTCAAGTAATCTATTGGCTATTGATCTTAGGGTCAAATAATCTAATAGAAAAATTTATACAAAAGATATGTATTTCTAAATTGTGATTTTGACTTCATTATTACATAGACAAAATAGGATTTTGTTGACAAAATAGGATTCTGTATTTTTAAAAGATATGGAAGCAAGATTCCATATTGATTGATTCGCACTTCCCTACTCCTATGAACCGATATAGTATATGTTGTAGATTCTAGACTCAAAACCCTAACGAAACGAGAATCATTACATGTGGAATTATGTATCATTCGACATAGACTCAAGATTCAATCTTTGATGGAGTCACGATTCGATGTATTTGGGAATGAATTTCCACGAATAATGGGTTCAAACTTCTAAAAATGTATAGAAACGAGATTCCTAAATTAAGGAATCAAGATTCTGTGCCTTCGAGAAACGGTTTCTGTGAAGATTCCTTAACTATATTGTCGAATCGGGTTTCCAAACCAGAATTGCAGGGTCGGCAAAGAGATTCCGGTAACTACGGTTTTTTTTTTTGAGTAAAGTTAACTTTTGTATTGCTGTAGAGTGTTAGAATACAGAAGAGGGATCTGAGAGTACCCACAAGTCGGGTCACTCGGTCAAAAAATAGGTCAAGAGATCTTGTACAAAAATTGGGCTTATAGACCTACCTGATTACAATAGGTATACTTGTGAGTTACAAAAAATGGGGCTTATAAAATTGCTCGAGTACAAGATCGGTACTAAGGTGTAACTAAGGAGGTGTTTGGCTTTGTTGGGGAATCCATTGCTATAGTTCGTCGCCAACTATCATCTCTGCACGATAGTTTACACATGGATCCTTCCAATGAGACTTTGCAAACTCAGAAAAAAGAGTACACTCAGAATTTGCAAACTCTTCTGGCCAATGAAGAAAGATTCTGGAGGCAAAAATCAAGACAAAACTGGATAAAAGAGGAACACTCCAACACCAAATATTTTCACTTATCGACTGTGGTTAGAAGGAGGACTGATAGAATTATCTCTTTGAAAGATCAGAATGGGAATCTCTTGTCTAATGAGGATGATATTGAAAATCATATGATTGGCTATTTTAAAGACCTATTGGCTCAGGAGAGCAATATTGACCTTCACATTGATCAGGTCTTGCCGCCATTCCATCTCAATTCTTCTCAGAAGGACAAACTAGTGGAGGCCGTATCTATGGAGGAGATTAAAGCATGCATTTGGGACATGAAAAATGAAAGTGCTCTAGGACCAGATGGCTTTTCAGTGGAATTCTACAAGTTTGGATGGGAAGTCATTAAAAGGGATCTTCTTTTTGCCCTTAAAGATTTCTTCACTAAGGGTAAGCTGCTCAAGCAAATCAATTCCACCTTTATTTGTCTGATTCCTAAAGTCGATGCACCTAAGGTGATGAAGGACTTTTGATCTATAGGGTTATGTAATGTCTTATACAAAGTCATCAGCAAAATAATTTCTAATCGCCTACGAGTTGTTCTTGCTGATTTTATTGACCCTAGGCAGGCTGCTTTTTTGAAAGGTAGGCTTATCATTGATAATATTCTCATGGCAAACGAACTTATGTCTCTTTGCTATAAAAACTCAGATCAGCCTACAATGTGTCTGCAAATCGATTTGAGCAGTGCATATGACACAGTATCCTGAGATTTTATAGTGGGTAGGATGCATGCTTTGGGTTTTCCTGACTTATTTGTTTATTGGGTTCACTTGTGTATTTCCACTACTTTTTCTGTCCTGAGGAATAGCTCACCCAAAGGTTCTTTTTAAAGGTAAGAGAGGCTTGAGGCAAGGGGACCGTCTATCTCCTTATCCTTTTTTGTTGGTCATGCAAACAGCGTGATTGTGCTATGTTGCAAGGCATGGTTCCTAAGGCGATTCCTTCAAGGTGTGACTATGGGGTCATGCTGATGACGTGCCTATTTTTTGGGAGGCATCAATGTCCACTGCCAAAGCTATGTGTGAACTCATCTAAAAGCAAGGTATTTTTCTTTGGTGCACCACAGGGAGGACGGGGACGAATTCTAAGGGAGTTAAAGTTTGTTGAACGGCCTCTTCTTGTTCGTTATTGGGCCTATCATTATTTCGTGGACATTTGAGGCACAATTATTGTCATAGTCTGGTGGGTAAGGTGTTCGGTAAGATCGGATCTTGGTAGCCTTTATGCCTATCATATGCCGGTCGACTTCAGTTGCTTAAGTCTGTACTGGGGGCGTCATCAGTTTTCTGGTTATTATCCTTTATTCTTCCGAAGAAAACAGGTAATATGATAGAGAGACTACAGAGAAACTTCTTATGGGTCGGGGAAGCAGAAAAAAAAGGTGTTCATCTTATAAAATGGAAACGGTGTGTCTCCCTATGGCTGAAGGAGGTGTTGGGGTAAGAGATATGGCGGATTTTAATATCGCAGGAATGATGAAGCTAGCATGGAGGATTTTGGAAAACCCATCCTCGTTGTTGGCACGGTTCTTCAAACATCGATATTTTAGGAATTCCTCTATTTGGGAGGCTGAAGGCAGAAGAGGATGTTCTCAAGCATGGAAGGGGATTTTACTTGGCTTATTTCATTTGAGAGGTAATGTACAGTGGAATATTGGAAATGGTCAGTTGGTGGATTTCTGGATGGACCCATGGTTAGTAGGTCAGCCACTTTCAGACCTCCACGATGATAACATTCAGGAGTTTATGGGGGCTGCTGTAGGCAGGAGGGTGTCAGATTTTATTAGAGGAGTTCCTCAAGCTTGGGTTCTGCCGCATCGCGCATCCCGCATCTGATTCTTTGAGAAATATATGGAGAAAGGTTGAGAATTATACTCTTCCTCTACAGCCCAAGACGGATTTACTGGTTTGGATTCATTCTGCTAATGGATTATTCTTTATTAAAAGAGCATCGGAGTTTATTAGGCATCAAGGTTCATCACAGCTTATCTTTCGTGCACTTTGGTCCTCCAAATGCCACCCAAGGGCGAAATGGTTTTCATGGTTGGCCTTGCATAATCGATTACCCACTTCGTTCTTACTACAGCAGCGAGACATGCAACTGGATTCTTTATGTCCCTTTTGTAGTAACCATGATGACAATCTTTTTCATCTATTATTCCAATGTACCTTTGCGCAGCGTGTCTGGAGATCACTCGCTTGGAGATGTGAAAAAAGGTTTGTCCTTGGTACCTCTGTCCCTGATTTACTTCGGTGGTGGTTGCTTTTCATGTTTAAATCACATGGACTTCATAATATTTGGTCTTCCATCTTTTTTACTGCTATTTTGATTTTTATGGGAAGAGCGCAACAGAAGAATTTTTGAGTCAAGACCTGCCAGTTGAGAGCTTATTGTGAAAAGAATTATCGTGCATGTTCAGGCACTAGCAGAGGTTAAGAAGTGGTCTTTCCATTTATTAGAAAAGGCCATCATTGGTAAACTTCGGATAACTTGGCAGCAGCAAAGGGCTAAGCCCTTTACTTCGGTAGCGTGGTCTTTTCCTGAGACTCATTATTACAAACTCAATATTGATGGTGCTTCCTTGAGAAATCCAGGTCTAGCAGGTGGTGGTGGAGTTATCAGGAACAGTGCGGGTGGTTTTATTGCTGCTTTTGCATATTATTTTGGTTTTGCTTCTAATAACCATGCAGAATTCTTGGCATTTGAGGAAGGAGTTCAATTGGTTATTTGAAGTAATTCCTATCCAATCCAGATTGAAAGGGACTCAGCCTTGCTTGTGAATGTCATTCAAAATCGATGCAATGCTCTATGGAGACTTAAGACGATTGTTGACAATTGTTGCACTAGACTGTCTTCTCATTGATGGTCCATCACACGTCTTTCATGAGGCTAACATGGTTGCTGATGCCCTGC